CCCCCCCTCCTTATGAAGTCATGCCGGGGCGAGGGCGAAGCTGACGATCTGAAGGTGGAACGTGGATGCGGGTGCAACGTGGAGCCGAAGGTACCGGCTTGCCTTGCATCTTGCGTTCGTAGCGTGCGAGAACATCCGGAGTTGTTGCTTGGAGTTCCGCACGGGTCAACCAACTGTCAGCTTTGTGAGTACAGTACGCAAAATGTACCAAGTACTCGGTTGGCCTGTTGCCGTAGCGTCGCTGGGAGATGATGTCGCTGACCTCCTGAAAACCGTCCATAGAGGGTGGGTCTTGCGATCGTCGCCCGGGAAAATCCTCATGTTCCGCCGGCGTATACAGAGCCAACTTGGAGCAATGAAAGAGTGGGTAGACGGGCAAGTGGGCGGGCACCTGAATGGTGAAGGAAAGTCCTTCGGGTGCATCCCCAATGGGTGCCACGATCGGCCAGGGCCCCATCCATTTCGAGCGGAGCTTGCGAGAGATATCTTGTCCGAGGCTGAATTCCACGGCAGAAACCCAAACGAGATCGCCGGCCCGGAAAGGGCAAGGAAGACATTGGCGATTGGCCTGTTGGCTCATGCATTGCTGCGTCTTAGCCATCTGGTCGCACGCCTTGACAAGTAGCTCTTGCATCCGACGCAAGAAAAGAAGATGGTCGTCGCTCTCGGCCGTTCGTGGAATGATTGTGTCCAACGAAGAAGTGACATGCGAGCCGTGCTCGAACTTGAAGGGCGACATCCCGATAGCCGGGTGGATGGATGAGTTGCATGCCAACTCGACATCCGGCAACCGCTCAACCCAATCCTTTTGGTGGGGGCGGATGAGAGTGCGAAGGAGAACCTGTGCGGTATGATGCGCCCTCTCCGTTTGACCATCGGTCTGGGGGTGGCGAGCCGAACTTGGCTTGAGAGATGAGCCCCATCGTTTGATGAGCGCCAACCAAAAGTCGGACATGAACCGAGTGTCGCGGTTGCAGACGATTTCCTTGGGGTAACCCTTGGCTCGAATCCAACCGGCGTAAAGAACCTCGACCAACTCCGGTGCCTTGGCATGATAGCGGCAAGGCAAAAACGTGGCAAACTTGGTGAGTCGGTCGACCACCGTGAGAATCCCATCCACATCGGTATTGTGCTTGGGAAACGGTCCGGTAATGTCCATGGCAATCGCTTCCCTTCGGCGCAAGGGGACCGACAATGGTCGCAACTCGTCGTACGGACGATGGTTGTGGGATTTGCAGCGTCGGCAAACCTCGCATGACGCACAATAGCGCGTGGCGTCGCCGAGAAGGCCGGGACACCAAAATCGCTCACGAAGTCGGCCAATCGTGTGATTGACTCCAAAGTGTTCGGTGGCAGGAGCATCTTGGAACTCGCCAAGAAGCCGTGTACACAAGTGAGAGTCACTCGGTACGCAAAGAAGGTCCTTCCCCCGTACCCCTCTTGGATCCGGTAGTGAGAAGGCACTGGATTAGGAGAGGAGCAATTCGCGTACTTGTCGAGAAACTCGGGGTCGGCTTGGTAGCCGCGGATGAAGCTGTCCCGCAGGTCGACGCCAATCTCGAAGGTCAAGTAGATTGCGGTACAATGATTCGGACACCGTGAAAGAGCATCTGCAAAACGGTTTGACTTCCCCGGAATATGATCGGGAAAGAAGCCAAATTGGTCGATGAAAGCCATCCATTGGGTGATGGTGCTATTGACGGTGTCTTGGGTCTTGTAGAAGACCAACGGATTGTTGTTCGTTACCCATCAGAATTGGCTTCGACCACGGAGGAAGTGCCGCCACCGCTTGAGTGCGTGGACGAAGGCTAGGAGCTCCTTGCGTGCATCATCAATGGAGTGCATGACGGGCACTTTCTTGCTGAAGTATTCGACCGGGTGCCAGTCCACGCCATCGTGTTGCTCGAGGACAACACCAATGCCATAGTCGGATGCATCTGTCTGGTGCCAGTCCACGCCATCGTGTTGCTCGAGGACGGCACCAATTGCATAGCCGGATGCATGCGCAAGACCTCCACAGATAATAGCGTGGCTTTGAGAGCCAAAAATGATTCCCGCGCATCCTCTCTGAAGTCAAACGGACGATCCTCGCATTGAAGCTTGGTCAAGTGGGCCACGATCTTCGAGTATCCCTTGATGAAACGTTAGCAGTAGCTGACAAGGCCAAGGAACGAACGAACATCCGTGACGTTCCGTGGTTCCGACCACTCTTGGATGGCTTGAATCTTGTCTGACAGCGGACTGATGCCCTCCGGTGTGATAAAATGGCCCAAGTATTCCAGCTCTTGCCGGACAAATTCGCACTTGTCACGGTTGGCCTTGTACTTGGCGCGGTGGAGCGTCTCCAACACTCGTGGAAGGTGCCCAAGATGATCCTCCAATGTCCGACTATAGACGAGAATGTCGTCTAAGTAGACCAGCACAAACCGGTCCAACATCGCGCGAAACTCGTTGGTCATTGCCGCTTGAAAGGTCGTCGGGGCGTTGGTGAGGCCAAAAGGCATGACCACCCACTCAAAATGCCCATACCGCGTCTTGAACGCAGATTTGTAGCGATCGTTCAGTCGGATTGAGATTTGATGATATCCCGACTTCAAATCCAACTTCGATAAATACTTCGTGCCGCCCAATCCCGCAAGAAGATTTTCGATGCGAGGAAGAGGCCCCACATTCTTGACGGTGTGCATGTTGAGCTTGCGGTAGTCGATGCACAATCGTAGATCCTTGTTCTTCTTCCGTACGAAAAGAACTGGCGCTCCATATGGAGAGCTACTAGGGCGGATCCAGCCCTTGTCCAACAAGTCATCGAGTTGTGCGCGGAGGACCGTAAGCTCCTCCTCGCTCATGCGGTAATGCAACCTTTCGGCGGCACGACACCGGCCTCAAGAATGATCTCGTGAGAGATTGGCCGATCCCTCACCACACCGGTAGGTGACTCGAAGATGTCGGCGAACTCGTCAAGCAACCGCACCACATGGGGGTCCAAAGACAAGTCCGTGGGTGAAGAATTGGCTACTGCGACGGTCCGTAGGAAGCATAGGCCTATCTCGTCGGGCTGCTCGTAAGCGCAAGTAGCCCGGAACGACTTGGCCGTTACCACTTGGCACCGAAGGCGTCTCGAACGGTAAGAGTCCGCCGGTGGAAGTTGACCGTGTGATCCGCACTTGCAAGCCAAGACATTCCCAAAATAATATCGAAGTCCGTGTCCAAAATGTCGAATGTCACCTGTTCGCATGCATGAGGTGCGAAATACACCGGTATGGCCTCGATGTAGCGGTCGATAAGTTGCTGCGTCCTTCTGTCCGCCAACTTGATTGTCGCAGGGTTTGCCTTCCTTTGAACTTGTGCACCAAGGCCAACCTTTCGCGTAAAGGCCTGGCTCATAAAATTGCGAGACGCGTCGCTATCCAACAAAGTGTTGCAGGACGCTTATCCAACTTGGATGTGGACATAGAGGAGCAGTGCGTTGTTGTCGTCGTACCGCTGATTGCGAAACTCGCGGGCCACCTTGGTAACATATGCGAGGATGTCCCCCCCTGCAACTTCGTCATCTGTGGGCTAAGTTGGTGGTGCATAGAAGGATAAGTACGTATGAAGATGAGCGCATAATGCTGCACATTGGGGTCCCGGCAAGCGGCCCGTGGTCGGGAGATGAAACCATGCGAAATCCTCGGACTTGAGCAGGTCCAATACCTCTATGTTGAACTCGCATGCCAAATCCCATAGAGAACCACTTGAAGACGATGAGTTGCCGTTGCCTAACGGAGAAGATGTCGCACACGTCTTGTCCTTGAGCATGAGTACCCAACGTAGGAACAAGAAGGGCAACATTGTCCTCAAAAGAATAAAGAAGAGGACTATCGACTTCTGCATGTGCCTCGGAACGAAGGGTGGCCACCCGCGACCCGCGAAGTGACCGGTTCCGAAGGCGTCGGGAGTGTCGTCGACTTACTCCCGGCGGTGCTCAGTTTCCCAATTTGCCCTTGCCTTTTGACGGGCAACCCACTGTCTCGTGGAGATCGCTGTTACACCACAGACAATAACGGATTCTCGTGAGTGCCTTGTATGCTTGCTCAGAGAGACCGTATTGGGACCATGGGGCTCCTGCTGCGCCGAGCCCGGGGCTAGATGCGGTGTTTATCTTCGTCTTGCCGCGTCCTCGGCCTTTGCTGGGGCGGCCACCATCCTGGGTGGCTGCGAGTCTGTCCCCTTCATTGGCAGACACGACCTCGGTAGTTTGGTCGATTGGCGTTGCCGCTGCGACCACGACCACTTTCGGTCAATGCTGATCTCTGCTCGGGCTTGTCGCAGACGAACGGTGGAGGTTCTTAGCACGCCTTGTTCGTGACAATAATCTGTGCGGCCTTGTCGAAGAGCTCCACCGGTGTCGTCAGGGTGTCCTCAACGTGAGTCAAGGCATTCCCCAACACCGGACACAACCTCGAGATGAAGTAGTGTTTGATGGCTGCATTGAAGCCCATTTGAATGTCTAGGACGGTTGTCAAGCGTTGGTACTCGGCAATCCAGTCAACACTCGACAGCGTGTGTTGTTTGAAGACCATCAGCTTGTCCATTGCCTTGATCTCCGGCGGCTCTACTTGGAACCACTTATGTCGTGCCGCCTTTAGATTGTCCCAAATGATCTTGGTGTGCAAGTCGGCAGCCACCACTCCGTACTTGGCACGCGCCCGCCGAGCGGGAGTATAAGTACGCGTGGTGCTTGTCCTCGCTAACGTAGTGTAGCTGCACCTTGAATTCGAACTTGAGGAATCGGGTCCGTCTTCGTCGAATCGCAGAAGATCTCCTGATCATCGAACTTTGGAGTTGTCTCGCGCGGTTCCGATCTTGAGTGAGTGGCGGTAGTGCAGATCCGCTGCTCCAACTGTTGCGTGGCAGTTTGTTGTAACTGCACGCCGTCCTTGAGGGATCCGACGTCAATCTCCAATGCCTCGAGGCGATCGGAGGTGTTGGAAGAGATGGCAACAGGGGCGGCGACGGTTTGTTCCAGCTGCTGGAGGCAGCTGGTGAGTTGGTCAAACACCTGATTGTGTGTCTGAACCTCGTCGTCGAGGTTGTGAATATCCTCCTGCTGTGCAATGCACGTGGCCAGGAGGTCCGTGAGATGGGAGAGGAGTAGAGCGATCTTGTTTCCACTCTCTTCCAGCTTCCCATTCTCAGCCTCAGCCCGCCAGTCCGCTGCCATTGTGAGCAAAGCTCGCTCTCCGCTGAATATCTTCTTGCGTCGGTGAAGTCGTTCTTCATCGGCAGCCTTTGCTGCTGCCTCGTCTTGCTGGCGCTTGCCAACAGACGTGCCTTCTCGGCGTCGTCTGTCTTCTTCTTTGCTGCGGCTGCTACTGCATCCAACCGTTGCTTGGCTTCGTTAATCAGAAGCAGCATCCGGGCCTGATAGGCCTCGTCTGTTTCCCCGGACTTCTGGTCCATGATGGCTGTTTGCGAGCGCAAGAGCATAGACCAGGCCGGGGGCCTGCTGACGTGGTACTCCCTGCTGCTGATGTGGCACTGCTGTCGGCTGACATGGCCTGCTGACGTGGTCTGCTGACGTGGCCTGCTGATGTGGTCTGCTCACACGGCCTGCTGATGTGGCAACTCACCAATGCCACCCCAGGGGGTACCCGGAGACAGATAGAGAAGGTAAGATCAGAGGGGGCAACAACATAGGTGGGGAGGGGTGGGTGAGATAAATTGCCCAGATAAGGAGCCACCAGTCAAAAAAAGAAAAGCAAAAAAATTTGAGCAAAAGAAAAAAATACTGGTTTGCAAGTTCAGTAGGCCTCCCGGATCCCCCTGAAGTGCGAAATTACTCTGAGGAAAAATTTTGAACGCTCAGACTGCAAATGGTTGTCCGATAAGAATTCCGAAAAAATAAAACACAGCAAATATTCGGAATTACTCAGATGAGAGTACGTGCAGTTGGAGAATGATAACTGCGAGAGGGATTTCCCGTACCCTTTATTTTCTTTTTTTTGAAAACAAATTTCGGGAAAAAAATATTCCGGATTTCTGAATAACGGGAAATTGCAAAGGAAAAAAACTTTAAAAAAGACGATATTCCGGATTTTCCGACAACGAAATTTCGAATTTTCAGAAGGAAAACGAAAACGGAAATTTCAGATGTTGTGCTATTGCGATTTTCCACAACAGAAATAGCGAGAAAACAAAATCGAAGAAAAGAAAAAAATTTTGATTTTCGGCAGTGAATTCAAAATCGTGATTTGGGGGGCTAACTAGTGTGCTATAATCAATCAATCAAGACTAATCAGCTACCTAGTTCCCGCACATGTGTCAGTTAGGTTGTCCTGATTCACGTGCGGTGTTCCGATACCAACTGATACATGCCCAGTTGGGAGATGTACATAATAAACCGAGGATCCGCAATGTGATAAAAAGGACTGAATGGACAATGCAGTGCAAGTGAAATCTCAACAAGCAGTGAACATTCTGATACATACAAAAATGGTGCTTTATAGCGCACTGGAAGACTTAGATACAAGTCCTGACCTGACCGGGACTGACCTCTATCACGTAGTGCAAGACAGCGCAGCAGAATGCTAGAATACCATGACTAGCCCAACCAATGTTGCAACACAGACCAAACATACATCATCCTCATCACAAAGTGTGAAAGAGGGCCCTGGCGCTACACACAGGAAGAATGCGCCAGCCTCCAGGTCCAAATCATGCACAGACGAAGAGAAGGGGACCAGACGAAGAAGAGGGGGAGAGATGGGAATGTCGTCAACACCAAGTCTTTGTTACAAGTCCCAAATAATCCCTCGTCAAAATGTCTGAAGCCCAATATCGAGTCTGGATCCAAATGTCACCAAGCCCGCTCTCTCATAGTCTTCTGATGCAGTGAAGTCAGGTAGCGAGAGGGTGAGAGGGAGATGGTGGACTGAGAAGAGGAAGAAGAAGAACTCTCTCTCTCTCATATGCCGGGTACTAACCTGTGAAGATGGCGCTGTGCTGCAGGTACCTCGAAGGCGAAGCTGGAGCTATGGCGCTGCAGGTAAGTATCCCTGGCCTCCGCCCAATCTCTCTCTCTCCAGTACTACTCTAGCTCCTCCTAAGAGCGCCCAGCGCTGAAGACTACTGCTAACGCTACTAGCACCCAGCGCTGAAGACTACTGCGAGCGCTACTACTACTCCTGCAGCGCTCCTCCAGAGTGCTGCTGCCGAATCCTGAGGACTACCTCCTGCCTCCTAAACTTCACGTGAAGTGCCTGGGAAGTACCTAGGAACTACATGCCTGCCTGCAGGGCGGGCCAGTCCTATATAGTGCTGGCCCATCCAGGAGGCTGCTCTTGCCAATGCCGAAACGAGCCAGACCCGGGCGTTGAAGCTCAACCAGGGGTTTTCTTGAAAATAGGCCCAAAATGGCCTGTGCCAAAACCCTGGTTTGGTGCCTGAGTTTCAGGGCAGGTCGAACACATGAGGGCCTGAAAATGGCCCTCAGTTTCAGGCTGAAAACACTCAGGCCGGAAAGGCCTTGATTTAGCCTGAAACGACACAGGGCCTGTAGGCCCTTGTTTTCAGGCTTTCAGGCTGAAACGACACGGGGCCTGTAGGCCCTTGTTTTCAGGCTTTTGGCCTGAAAACGTCACGGGCCTGAAAGGGGGCCCGTGCAGCCTGTTGCAGGCGCTGCATGTAACACTCAGACTACTTCGACTGGTACTCACCTAGACCTAGCCTACAACTTCGACTGGGCCTCTAAAATGCCAACTTTCGTCTTCTTCTGCTCGGCCTCGAGTACCCGACACATCTACCAGTATTTGGTGTGGTACCGGCCTACCTGCTACTTGAGTCTTTTTCCCGCAGTTCTAAGTGTCACGGGCCTCCACTTGAGTGTTTTTCCCGCTGCAACCCTCAATGTCACGGCCACAGGTAAGTACCTGCCCAACGGGCCTTCACAAGCAAGCAAGTACCCTTGCGGGTCACACACACACTTGAGTCGTCAAGCACTCAGACAGGCACGCAGACCAGCGAGCACGCACACACACAGACTTAGGAAACTCAGCAAGCCATTCATTCCATTGGGGAAAGTCAGAAATCAGATGTGTTCTCAGTCCGTGCTT